CTTGAAGACGTCGCTGAACAACTGCTAGACTTCGAGAGCGGGCTCTCGTGGCCGGTCAGGCGGGCGGCTGCCCATTGCCATAGCCTCACCGTCTCGGCACTTTCTTCTCGTACAGTCGAAGGACAAAACTCTACTTCGTTGAAGTTAAACAAACATATAAAAAGTTTGTGACGGAAACGTTGGGTGAAAATGTATGATACGCTCTTATATCAAGGCTAAAGCCAACAGTAGTTACTTATCATCCCATTGTCAATTTTGTAACAACAACTTTTTTTCTAGCACATAATTTATTGTGCATATTTAGGCTAAAATTAATACAAATGCCTTTAAAGGTAATATTTAACAATTTGGAGATTATCATAAAAATATAGGGCTTTGCAAATCGGGTAGTCAATAAAACGAACACCGATTAAACAATTTCTTACGAAATGATATTCTGAGATAGATCGCCATTTTTTGTATGCGTTTATAAAACGCACTTTAAGTAACCAAGAAACTAAAGAATGATAATCTTTTATACATATGAAATGATAACAAATTTGCTAGTAACTTTCAAGGAACTTTCAAATTTCTTTCAAGCGGTGCATGTAGAACGGATCATTAAGCACAGTACAAACACCTTTTTGTATAGACCTACAAAAAGTAGAATGATAACTTTAAAATAATGTTGATAATCGTCCAGGCGTGACGAAGCATTCTCATGTTGAAATATAAGTTATGATCACAGAATCTTGGCCAGCGTGGGTGGTACATTTTATTCCTGTTTCCGGTTTACACACGGCAACTGTTTTCGTCTAGACGTTCGCGCGATTAATAACCGATATCCCTCTTGGCATGGAATCGCTCATCATTTAATACAACTATGTACCTGAGAATTGTGATTGACATGATATTACTCAGAAGAGGACCGCACATCACCTTGTTCTAATCCCTTCAATACCCCGCCCCTGACGGCAGGGGATTAAGAAACGAGTATGATGCGGCAAAGAACATCGTCTGCTAAACGCGGAAAAAGTGCAGGGGTTGTTTCGCGCCGATAATTGACTAGCGGCATACGAGATTAAAATGTCAACCTTAGCTCATGGAGGTGTTTCGAGCAGATTTTGGCGAATCATCGCTTGTCATGTATACCTGAGGTAGTGCAATATGACGTTTACATTAAGCCATTCTTTCCAACCGCGTAGCACGTATCCGCCACTGCAAATTAAATTTGGCATTAAGCACGCCGTTCTAATTCAGACGAGTAAAAATCTTATCGCGTTTTTACTGAGAATGCGTTTCAAAAAACTTTATGCCGGGGTTTCCTTTGAGACAGATAACTCATGCAAAAAAAAATCAGTGAAGTGCCATTTTTGGAATAGATTGGGCTATTACTTTTAAGGGCCAAAAATAAAACTGGGCTACAATAGCGCATCAAGTATTAAGCTCAGCATTATTCTCAGGCAAGTCGAAACTACTTTGTCCAGTGCACCACAGACCACAGCCGGGATTTTAGTATATCTCGTATGCTTGGAGCCAGAAGGGCTTTAACTCCTATCGCAATTAAAGCACAGTTAACGAACTTAACCGCCCTTCTGGCAAGGGAAGGGTTCTGAACCTTGGATGAAGTTAATGTTATGGCCCTGCCAGTGCCACCGCGGAACCCTACTGGACCAAACATGGAGTGAAAAGAATGTTAATTTATGTTCAGAACTCTACAATACCTATTTCACATTGGGTACAACCAGCCACTAGCCCAGGCTTTCCCCGGTGAATCATGAACAGCACATTCGATTTAGTTTCTTTAGGGTTTTCAGTCTCATCAGCGCGCTTCATTATAGACAACTAGATACCTGCGCTCTACAAAGTCTGGGACTGGATTAGCTTGAGGTGCGGCACATCAAATTCCCAAATACTGGGACTTGCTTTGTCCTAAATCATCAATTGATCATTCTACACATAACATTTTCTTTTTACACTCTATTGATTACGAGTAATAAATATTAGATACAAAATAGATATTATAAGTATTTAACTTTTCAAAAAGAAAACCATTTTTAATCTTCTATACTATTGTAGGATAATTATCCCTTTTGTGAGTTTTGATGAGCTAAATTAAAGCGGGTTCCAATCTCCCCATTCCGTGAATAAAATAATTGATGCAGTATTTTGTTTGTCTTTAATCGCAAGGAGTCATTTCAGTTTCTCGTCTCCCATTTAAATCGCTATCTTTTCTTAGCACATACTTTCTTTCATTCTAGATATCCCATGTGAGTATGTGTTCATAGAAACATTGAGGTTTTAGTGGTCGCTTCGTTCTTTAAAATACGTGCATATCTATTTCAAGCGTGTTAACATCGCCAAGAATTTCGCGTCGTTACAACCCCAAAGCCTTATTTTTAGATGCAAAGTAATTGTGTAATCAACTTATCAGTTTCAAATGTTCCTAAAATGGATACATTTGCGGGTTCCAGTCCCACGTAATTTCCTTCGTGTCTGTAATGTCCTTCAAATACCATAATGATTATCTAGCGGTTCAGTTGTAATGAATCAACTCACAAAGTTCAAAACATTTTTCTCCTCTCGACGGAGCGCTCAACGAATGTCACTTTCAGATATATAATCTACGCGTCCGTGTCTTGTTTTAGCAGGACGGTAAATGAGTTCTAATCCCGTGTACTTTTTCGAAATGCCAAGGAAATTATCCCGCAACTGCAGAAATACATAAGCACCTGATGATTTGATCTCAGACTCTTTTATATCTCCTCATGTTTTTCTTTCTTTCTTTTCGTTTTCATCTCTGCCCGTCTTGGCCGCGCCTTGTTGCAACTGGGCCGGAGCTTCCCAATGCCGGTTAACTAACTAATCTTGTTTGACATTTGAATAAATTGGACCGGAATCCAGCGTCGGCCCAATCGGGTTTCACAATCGAGAAAGTTTGTCGAGGAATCGCCGTCGAAGGAAGGCGGTGATGATGAAGATATCACAAGAAGATGATTTGAGAGAGAGATGGAAAGTGACAAATGGGAGACACTCGATTCAGTTTGGGTTTGCCAGGCCAACGTGTCATCTTCAAAATACATCCCTTTGATAATTATCGTCATATCACGTCTTACGTACATCCAGTACAGACAGCACGTGTTCAAACAAATTTAATTTCTTTCCGCCAGAGTAAATTGACCGTAAAAGGGTTTAAGCCTTGGCCTATTTACCCGAATTCCCTCGATATGGAAAAAAAGGAGAATGTAATTCAAATCTACCAAGATATAAATACTAGATATAAGAGTATATTGCGTTAATTTGACAAAGACATCTGAAAAGTTAGACTTTGAGTTCGTGGATACCAATTGAGAAATTGAAGGAAAACGACATTTATAGTTAATAGAAATACATGTTAATAATACTATTCGTCAAATAATTTAGGAAGATAGAGTAGTAATCCTCGTGATATTAAAATTAAAGTGTTGAAATTACTTGAGGAAAATGACATGTTTTCACAGTCGATTGCGGGCCGTCCATTCATCTCGCTCACTATAAGAACTCAATACCCTTCAATATTTTCATTTTACTATGAATCAGAAATTATGAAAGACTAAGTATGAAAAGGTCAAGTTGGGAGCAAGACTGAAGATGGTTATCACTGCACACGCCCTCTAGACAGAGTTATTTTTTTAGCTGATTAATTATTTCCCTTGGAAAAGTGCGACCACAATTCATGACCTTTACACAGCTCAATATAGGCGTAAAAACTTTAATTTTTATCTAAGATTCCACTTTGCTTTACTGTCTATGCATTAACCGTGATAACGGTCTGAATATAAGGATTCAGGGTGAACCTGAAGATTATTTTTTTCATTCAAAATTCTTTGATCCACTTTCTCCATCTTATGTGTAGTCATGGTAATTTTCTTCTGAAAAAAAACATTCAGTCTGGTATGTCGGAGAACACTTTTCTTCATATTTGGGACATTTTGTTGTGTCTATTAGGAAGCACTATTCTTTTTTTGTTACGATAAAGAATGAAAAGTAATAAATGGAATTATTGAGATCTTACCCAAGATTGCCTCATTAGTATTTATTTTGCTCTTCATGCGGGCACTGCAATTATTATTACCCTAGCATTAATTACCAGGTACCCGTTTACATCTGGGTGGAGAGTGACAAATGTGGCCTGATGTCTTGACAAAGGACGTTAGTGCCAATCTTGGATTGAGGGTCAGGTGAATGAACCACTAGACCACGACACCTCCAGAAGACAATATATAAGAAAATAATAATTTTACAACATTACAATCTTGATTTCTTTCTGTATTTTTTCAGTTTGATAATTGAATGATAACATCGTTTGTCGGGATACATAATGTCACTAACTCATATTTTATACTTGAACATAGCGTTATCACACTTGTTACCCCCAACATACAATATGATAATATATATGCAAGTGAAATAGAAAACAAAAGAGATTCCATTATTTTGCTATTTCAATTTATACACCCGATATTTTGCAAATGCAACCAAACCTGTCAATTATTGAGTACCAAATGGAAGCGGATAAAGTCGCCACTGTAAATAGGTCGCCGTTCTAGGCAGGTTCTACACAACACATTTCGTTATCGAGGAAGACAAAATACATGACCACTATAGACAGGTGGCCTTTATACAGAGGTGGCCACTAAGACAGGTTTGCCTGCACTTCTTTTTTTTTACATTACATTCTATCCATGCGCTGGAACATGTACGGATTACTTGCTCCACGTGACGGTAGTTATATGTCCAAACATCATTAGAGCTTTTTTTTTGCCCCATTTTGATAATTTTTGGCCAGTTACGATTACCTTTTTCTACAAATTGGGCAGAAATCGCCCAGCCTATAAACGGCCAAAAGTTGGTCGGACACATTATAATACTCGTGTCGGGCAATTTTTTTTTTTAACGCAGAAACCTTTACAGTGCACATTAGCCAATAGCTTTTGGAAATCGTCATACAAATGCAACTTTCTTCATCCTTTTTCCCGCAGGTTTATTAGATGATGGATCCTGCGGCTCGTTGTCAGATAACGGGATCATCTCGGCCAAATCAAAACGGCAGCGACGCAATCGGACCACATTCACCACCGCTCAGCTCGATGCTCTGGAGAAGGTGTTTGAAAGGACGCACTACCCTGATGCTTTCTTACGCGAGGAGCTTGCAAAGAAGGTCGATCTCACAGAAGCACGAGTCCAGGTAAGGACGAGATATATTTTATTTATTCATTTGTTTGGTTTTCTTTTTTTTTTAAAGCAGGGTATAGTCCCATTCAGCTCCACAAAATGATAAATAATTTTGTATCATGGTAATGACAACAACTTTTTAATTGAATGAAAACACAAACTAAAGATATGTGATTAATACAAAGCAAAATAAAAAAAAAGTTTACAGGTTAGAGTGAAATTAGTAAAAGAATTATAAGTGACATATATTTTTTTAAATCAATAGATGGATTGGAAATGGCGTAGGCGTGTTTTAAATATTGTAGGAAAGGGGATGTTTGAGTGAACATTACTAGGTTTAAAGTAGGTCAAATATAAATATGAAATATTGATATTTAATGTTTGATTCAGATCTAGAATAGATGTTAATTTAGTTCACAGATCATTTATTTTCATTTATAAATCGTATTGTCAAAATTTGTGATAAAAAAATTAAAAAAGTAAACAAAACAAAACAACATCTAAAACTGTATCAGCAACAAAATACGTTGCCTAATGTGCACCTTTTTTTAAATGAAGGGTATAAACTTACATCTTCAAAAAAGGAAAAGAAAAACAAATTAATTCCTTGAAAACGTTTTATTACCACTAGGGTAAAGGTGAATTTTTAAAAAAAAGAGCAAAAATTGTATCTGAACGTTGAAGATAACAAGCAATATTATCTTGCTCTCTGACAGAACTAATTACCAATAACAATTTTTAAGATATAGGCCTAAATATATTGTATGTTTAAGCAATACAAAATATGATTAATAACATCAGAGAAAATGGTGATAAAAGCTTCCGTTATTTACTTAATCCATCGTTTAGCTATGATAGAGACTGCTTAAAAAATACGAAAGAGAGACAGAAAGAAAGAAAGAAAAAAAAAGAAGGAAGGAAGAAAGAAAAAAAGAAACAAAACAGGACTTCTGTAAACAGCCACCTATCCAGCCCGATGTAATCATGCAAATACTAAAATAACACCGAACATGTCTTGACGAAATTTCTACATATCAGGGGAGTAAAGACATCGTCAGCTAGATGTACAATGTCAAAAAATATATTCGCCAATTTCCACTTTTTTTTCTTCCATTGTACATGTTGCAAGCTAATTCAAAATCAGAAGGAAAAAACAACATATCTGCATAGGATAGCATAAAAATCTATGATTACTATGTTTTCCGATTCTTCTTCTGCCTTATGACACGGGTCGTACTAACATTATCAGCATGACTTGTTATTCTTAGGGGTTAAAGGTCAAGTTCAAGTTCATTACTCGATACGGAATTGATGTTGACATGAATATGACGGACTAAAAGCGTACATAGAAATGGCGTCCGGATATATATTCGTCTTCAAATTCGAATATTTCGTTCCCTATTTCTTTCAATTTTGGCTATAGTGCTCAAAACGTTCAGACATTTTTTTTCTTTCTTTTTTTAGATGATGCGTAGCTTGGCACCCATGCTACAGAGTTTTTAGTGCTTTGAATGTTTCGTAAGGTGGGGTAATGCTCAAATAACTATGCCGTTACGTAGCGGATTTAATAAAAAAAAATCACCTGTTTTGGAAGAAATTTTATCACAGTCTTCATGAAGGATTTTCATCAGTCGGCAACATATTTAACAGAGGATTGTCGTGATTGTCCGGGATTTTCGTGAGATTTAAGGTAACTGTTCATATAGTATTCACGCTGGAACTAGAGTATTTTGTCAATACCCACCGTATTCGACTGACTTTATCCATGATGGGGGCTTGACAAAATATTGATCTGTTTTGCATCGAAACAAAAACAGTGAACGTCCCAATCTCTCTCACGAGTATAATTAAAGTGAAATAGAGTCGAGGTTTCCCGACTGGCCACCCATTTCTCCAAGGCTGGTCCTTTCAGAAGTACAAGTCAACAAGATCCGGTATTATAGCAGCCTTTCATCAAATCAAAAGTTGGGCTATACGCCATGGTCAAATTTACCACTGTAACTTGAACAAAAGAAAACACAGCATACAAATTATCAGGGGCGATGTTTTTTTGTTTTTTGTTTTATTTCGAAAATCATAAAATTAATAGTTCAATATAGCAGAATCAAAGACTTATATAACAATAATAGAATGATAAAACGGTTGGATAGTCCATTTCAGAGCCATTAATCTAATGGCTCTGTTCTTCCAAGGAGTCCATGTAACCAGTAGTAGTTGTGTGTTTCCTTTTTAACCCATACCATTCGGTGCTATGTTTTAAAACCTGGGCCATTGTTTTACAAAACTTGTTATCATAAACAAATGCTAGAATTCTATGACAAATTTACTCTCAGTCAATCAAATGCCACGATTTCAGTAGCTTATAACAGTTAATGTAATTTGTTTTATGAAACAGCACCCTGGTTATGTGCTCGTTGGACAACACGCGTCATTAATACGATTGCATTATTACGTGCACTGATCAAGCCTGTTAATAAAGTGTACTAGTGCGCCAATGATTCAAAGCAACTTTTGCGCTGTTCATTCTGCGTTCACCTTTTCGTTTCGAGTCTCAAATCGCGTATGAAAGGCAGCGTCAATCGCTGACACAGTGATACGTCAAAAAAATTGCGCCCGCGTGCAAGGAGTATATGGAAGCATGTATCTGTTTAAGTGCAGAACCTACTTCGTTCGTTTCCGCCAAACGGGAACCGATGATGATCATTGCCTTTACTTAAGAGCTCTATAGCTCAATTACATGGTATCGAACCCGAGACCTCCTTGTTACCACTGATCTAACCACTGATCTAACCACTACGCCAGCTCTATGAAAAAATAATCTAGAAGTACAGCGAGGCAGGGAGAATTGTGGGTAATGTTGACGTGCAGGGGGATACAAAGATTGAGAGACAAAGAGCTTGAAAGTAGAACCAAAGAAATCAAAATATTCCAATAATATTTAATGATAACATGATCACAAACTATACCCCCAAAATGAACATGTTTAGTGTCAAAACTAGCTCGCTGCAGCCCATTCAGTAACCAGTGAAAGATATACGTGCAGCCAGCTACTCACCCTGTGCCAAGACGGGCAATTAATACCGCCAAAGTACACGTTGGGGATAAATTAAATCGGTTGATTCAAGCAATAATTCATGCCGAGTATCGATACTCAAAGCAAAGTGTGACATACACCAGGGTGTTGCGATTCTGGCGGAAAAGGTTGGCATGTTGTATCTTTATTTGGGGTGTAAAAACGTGGGGATTTCGTCAGAAGGCAACACGTACATGGGAACAATCGTATGACAAATATAATTTGTCAAAATCACGAATTAAAGTCATCTTTCATGACCACTTTCACTATGAGGAGAATGTGATGTCACAAAGGCTTCATGTATCGTGCTAAACTTTTAGACTTACACTTGTTATTATGTTATTAGCAATATTCTAATTTCTAAAGAATATGGTGACAAGTTTGATATCAGAGACTAAGCAGTTAGATGTGTAGCATATGACTGTTGTGATTCAACGTGCATCCCCCCTCGATATTATTTTTCTTTTCGTTTTAACTATTATTTGTAGCATTATGTATACTATACACATTGCACATTTTCGATGCATTCTTAACAAACGCTTTAGTTGCAAAAGGAATTCAATTTCCTATACCATGTATAGTTTAATTTGTACCACTATAGTTTATCCCATTTTATTTTATGCCGTCAAGTTTCCCTATTCTTTACCAATGCAATTATAAAATAATGAACTTTCTTTAGTATGATATTTGTGAAACGCATATAGACTTTATTTAGTAGTGTGTTTAAAAGTACGATGTTATTATTGTTATTCTTTCAACTTTCACCATCATTTCCATAACTTGTCTCAATCATTGTCATCATCATCATTAGCTTCATGATCAACAACAAAAATATCATCATTATCATCACCACCACCACCACCACTACCATTAGCATCATTATTGTAAACGAGTTCAATAATGACATTTCCGTACTTTCAACATTGTCCCTTTTCTCCTGACACTCATCTATTCCAGTCTCAATCAAATAATAGTCTAATTAATCATGAGTAACATCATTTCGATATTTCATAAGACAACTTTTATGTGGATGAACATGATTATTTCATCCTTCTCACTGCCGCATTCGATGAAATCATTTTTTTTTATAAGGTTGAGTCATGTACTGTTCTCTGAATGTACATAAAATGTACCGTACATTCTTGCAATAAAACCCAAACCAATTTGGCTTCTTATTTACGATACAGTAGCTTCCCCATGTCATGTAAAACATACAAACTCATTCGACGAGTTTCATTGATCAAAACCATGACACTCCTAAACTTTCTCTTCCTTAACATATTGGATACAAAAAGTTACAGTTGCACGACAACCTCGAAAAACAGAGTGTGCCTCCGTCGCCAAACCGTGGCCTTTGCGAGGGTCAGCGGAGGAGAAAAGTTCATAAACTTTTGCCAGGAATAATTGAAAAACACAACTTTGGGGTAAATTTACGATGCCCTGGTGCTAAAGTGCGACCACCACCAACAAAAAAGGGAAAAAATGCAGTGACCAGTTGTTTTTATTTGTTGGAAGTTTCCGTTGAGAGGTTGGAGCGAAGTGCATGTGCACAGCTATCCGCCCGCTGATAGACGAAGCGAGTGTTCTCGTCTCACGAAGTACAAGGCATATCGTAAATTTGCACCCAACTCCCGTTTTCTCTCTCCACTCCAGACATCTAAGAAAATAGTTACATACCTACTGGTATAGGTCGTCCATGACCCGCTTTAAGATCAATGTTACTGGGATTGGGAAGGGGGGTCACATAGAGAGAGAGAGAGAGAGAGAGAGAGAGAGAGGGGGCAAGAAAAAAAGAAAGGGGGAGAGGGGGGGGGGGGGTAGGAGGCAGAGAGAAATAGAGGTAGAAATAAAATGAGTATAGAGGGGAGGGGGTAAACAAAAAGATAGAAAGAAGGAGAGAGATTTACATATATACTTTTTTTGATACGATTCTGTAATAAATCGCGCGTCTTCAATATCATTTAGATGTAAATGAATCCGAAAGTGTTTTTTTGTTCAGATAATTCTTGACTACACTGTCGCTCATAAAGGTGGAATATTTTAGTATAACCCCAATTTATGGAATTATTTTAAAAATTATTTAAAAATAATAGATCTAGATAATAGTATACTTTCTCAGATTTTATTGAATAATAATTAGCCAATGCGTGTTTTGCGGGACTGCTATTAAAAGCATGTGTATGCTACTATGCCTATTAACTAGGGCACCTACGCCCTCAAGTCATAAATGACAGTAATGAGGATTAATGCCCCACAAAAGGGCACTAATATAGCACATCGACACGGTTTTGATCCTGGGGCCTCACAGTTACGAGGCCATTGTTTTAGTACTGAACCATGACTGTACGCAGCGGGGGCTAGGGTAGGGGGCAGTTCTCATAAATATAAAAAACACAGAAAATGCAATAATTTTTCAATAATTTATTGAATTTTACCCCGGTCCCAACATAAGAAAAAATCCTCTGGACGGCCATGCATTATGGCTCAAGGCATGGGCACACAGAAGATTTGTTTATGTTGGGAACCGGGGTAAAATGCAATAAATTATTTAAAATCTATTGCATTTTCTGTTTTGTTTTTTATTTATGGAAACTGCCCCTACACCCTAGCCCCCGTTGAAGGGTATAATAATGATTCGACGTTTTATTCTTACGGGCTCCCATGCCACGCCCATGTATTGTATAATTCTGTTTACAGAGAGTTTTTTGACACACGTTCAAGTTTTTGTTCAAATAGATTTGAGAGGTACTCACACTATTGCTTGGGAATGCCAATTGGTTTCCATGATAATCAAGTTAAGGCTTCGCTAGAAAGGGAAGTGGTCTCAAAGTACAATCCAGCTTGGCGTCAATTTGTAAATCTTATCAAGAATAATTTCCGATTCTCTTCATTCAGGGTTACCAAACTACATGATTCTGTCGGTATAGTCGGGTTATTTTATTTGGTGTGTGTGCTATGCTAGGGCGTCGTAAGTCGGGGAGGACATATGCTGGCGATTTTACTCTACAATGCATTAAAAAACTACTTTTAAATTCGTTACCTTGGCACGCTTTCCCTCTCCCTGTTCCTTTGCGCAATTATGCATTTCGCAATTCACAGAAAGAAATGACTATGTTACCCCCCCCCCCTAATCATTTATACATTTTCAACATTAAATGATTTCATTTAAATAAATTTTAATTAAAACTACATACTGTTTTACTCGCAACTACATTCCTCGAGGTACACAAAAATGGCAATTTTCTAAATGTTGATACTGCGAGCGATAAAAATTTAATGTACTAATTTCCATAATTGTAGTAGTTTTAGTACGGCACACGTGTACATCGACTCACATACTTCACATGCCGATAGCCTGACGCATCGTAGTTAATATTAAGACATTATGAAATAATTTATAGATTTGTATATTTTAGTTTCGTTGGGTTTTGTCACGGTTACGATAACATAAAGCGAGAGTGTTGTTTGTTGACGGTGAACCTTCGGGAGGGCAGGGGAATACCATCACATGCTGGGGAGGCCTGGGAAATTCACCCTCATAAAAAAGTTCCTTTACGACTGTCGAATTCTGTTTAAGAGAAGGGGACGTATACGAGATTAAACGACCTGAATATAAAGTACTTATTTGTTGTCATTATGGCTAGACTCTCACTAATAAATTACTAATTAATATCAACCACGCAGGTCCCACATGAAGAGTTGTATTAAAGTAATGATAATGATGAGGCTACCTTGGGTAAACAAGACTCAATTATCATCATTATTATTATTATTATTAACCATGGTTCTTATTTATAAAGATTGGTTCTAATGTACATTACACGTATTAGTCTCAATGTTTTTTGTTTTTTGTTCATAATTCTACAATTCTTCATCCTTTTGTTCATATATGAATACATATTTTTTCTCTTCATTTAATGGTGTGCTGTTGTATGAACACCAACATTTAAAAGAATCAATAACTCTGGATTAAATTTTCTGGGAATACAAAAACAATACAAAATTTAATCATCGAACAAATAAAGTCATATTATTTTCCTAACTAGATACTCACCACGACAGGTTTTTTGATAAAGCGTCATGGTTTTATATTTTATCAATTACAACAGTTTAATACATCTCTTTGTTTAGCTGAAATTGTATTGAATGCAAAAATATTTGTTCATGAATGAAAATAATATCTTTAGTAGGGCTAACCTTTATGTAAGATTTATGCCATCTTTATCCACAGGTTGTATTAATGTACATATGTTGAGATGTGTTAGCTATACGTCATTTTAATATCAAGCCTTCAACATTCAACAATGGTACTGTTATAAACCAAGTTGGCCTTTAAAAAGATGTACAGATTTTTCACATGTAATAAAATTAACTAAGATGGTCTTTTACATATTCATGTATCTAGTCCTATGCAAATCTCATATTTTATTTCTCTTTTTTATTTCTCTTTTAAAGGTATGGTTTCAGAATAGACGTGCTAAATTCCGTCGTAACGAGCGGAGCCTACAAGCCGCCAAGGTCGCAGCGGCCAGGCGGAGGCCTTTCAATGGCGTCAACGTAGAACAACCGGTGGCGCCTCGCCCCTGCCCTACGACTACAGAGCTTGGCGGCAGCACGTGGAACTCCGCCGCAGCCGCCGCAGCGTCGTACGGCAGGCTAGCCGGCGTCATGTCGCAGGCAGCCGCCGGCCACATGTCAATGATGAACATGAACGCTTTGGAAAACGCCGGCGGACTGAGCTCGAGTTGGGCTAATTTGAGGTTAAAGGCGAGAGAATACAGCATGCAACAAATTCCACTTATCTAGGAGTGAGTTTCGAATTTTTCTTTTGGATATTTCCTCACCGTCTTTTGACTTTTGCGTTCGTCTAACGGTAATGTGGATTTTAAAAGGACGTTACAATTAATCCTGGACCAAGACTGATAAAATGGCTCAACGTCACAGAGCATACATAATCTTCTTCTATGCTGGAGACAATGTATGACGTCACAATGCAATCACTGTTCATCAAGTGACATTGAAAGTTGCAGTTTGCCATAAAGCTACATACCGATGACGCCATATTGTTTTACCATGATGAACCTTACTGGTGACTGGCTTAACCATGTTTGTCTATTTATCAGACGGTTTCTTCGTTTTCGTGAAAATTGAAAGGAAAAGGGAATGGATAATTATGAATATGAACGAAAGAAAGGACATATACTGTTCGATAACTGAAATAGTATTTGAGTATGTTAGATAACTTGGCCATGAATATCATCTAAAAATAGTTAGGCCTATATCATAAGCTACACATACCGTCCACTAGCATTAATATTCAAATGATTACAACGGTAATTTTTTTTCTAATTTTATTATTTTGTTTTCTTACACAAATGCAATTCTATTCCTTGTACTCTAATTATATTCTTAAGTATGAACTAAAACTTCACTATCGAAACTTAAACTCGAGAGAAACTGCTTATTAAGATGTTATCGATCTATGGATTAAAAGGCGAAGTTTTTCATGCCTAAGATCCAAGTTTGTTGCCACTGTCACTGGGTTTCTAGAAAAACGAAGGGTTTGATATTACACCATTTCATTAGCTATCCTTTCAAGAACAAACAAACAATGTAACTATCTTCATGATGTTAAATCTAGAAGATTAAACGTCTTTGAAATATAAAGGAGTATGAAACTGAGCGTCATCATACCATCCCTCACAGAGTTGTGCACACTCTTTCTTTGAGAGACTGCAATTGTTTATGCCCATTATCAATAATGTATCTAATGTCACTTTTCTTGTCAGTAAGAAATAGTTATCATGAATATTTCTCTCCTGTTTTTGTATTGATGCGAAATATTTCATCAAATGCAAGGGATCTATTTGTGCAGCGCACATCCTTTAGAACACGGGGTGTTCCTCGCTCAGCCCCCGGATAGTTATAAATCGAACTATTTGAGACAATTTATTGATTCTATAGTAGTAACGCTGAGCTATTCAAGAATATACTTCCATGTATTTGATAAAGTCAAATTGCTAATAGTAACTCATTTGGTTTTATTTGTAATCATGATAATCTGGAAGGCAATGATTTCACGTTCTGTTTTCTCAGATTTATTTCTAAACACGCACCCCGATGTAAGATTGAAGACCGATTTTTTTTCCCACCCCAGTCAGAGGAAGCGGTTACAGAAGAGACGGTACCTATCTTATCATTTTCTAATAATAATTTATGTTTAATTGACACATGAATGCATTGACCTTTTCTGAATTGCAATACCTTAGCTTCTAGACATTAATTGCTCTTCACAAACTGAAATATGAAGTATGAAATGCTAGAAATAAAATATAATGATTTATTAAAATATTCACTAAAATGTCAAATAGGGAATAATTATTTACTTTCATTAATGAATCGATGTGGATTGTTGCATTGTAATGTATTTAAGGAGTTGATCTTGTGATTTATGGAAACGTTCAAGAAATTGATACATGTGTCGTTGAAACATTATTTGAGATGTTCTGCAAAGTTGAAAATATATTCCATGTAAAAAAAACATCAACAAAGCACAATGGTGCGTATTGACACCATAAATATATTGATAATTTTAAATTGTGATTGTAACAATTGATATGACTATTTGAACATTATTTTGTGTGTAGATAAGATTTTTTTTTAATTATGTAGATTTGACTTTTAAAATGTTGATATCAAACCATTTTCATGTCCTTATTTCGACATTTCAAGCATGTGTAAATAAATTCGTAGTTCATAATCTATCGGAGCAACTCTTGTCGTAGGTGTTTCTTTCTTTAGGTTTTATTTAGAAAGGATGCTTGAAAGGAGATCGGGGTCGTGACCCTTGTGATTTTGTTAAGACTTAGTATGAGCATCTCGATGGGGGTGGCGATGATGATGGTGATTGCTAAGTTCGGGGCTGTGGTGGTTTGATGGTTGGCCGGTGGTATTGATGGTTATGGTAGTGATGGTTGTGGAGATGGTGATGGTATTGTTATGGTGGTGAAGGTGGTGGGAATGGTGGTTATGGTGGCGAAGATGGTGGTAGTGGTACTGGTAGCGATGGTGGTGGCGGTGGTGACGATAGTGGTGGTAGTGCTAACAATGATGATGGTGGTGGCTGCGACGATTATTGAGTAATACGCATGGTAATACAAAAAAAAGTATTTGACATGATGATGGTGGTGTGATGGTAGAAGTGTCTTCTGTGTAATAGAAGTTACGGTGATTTTGCGTTTATGATATATACTTTTGGCCAACATTTGACTTTGTAATAATAATAATAATATTGAATTTTTATACAGCGCTTATTACAAATATCTCTAAGCGCTTTACAAATATATTATTACCCCGGTCATTGGATTCAGTGCTTGCCCGCACACACTATGTGCACAATCTCCACTCCCTAGGGAGCATTCCAGCCAGGCGTTACATGACGCTCAAAAACTGTTTAACCAACAATGACGGTCGCATCCTACCGGGTACCCATTTTTGATACCAAAATGTTTTTAATTTCAGGATGACGATGGTTATGACGATGAAAATGATGATGATGATGATGACGATGGTGATGATGATGATGATGGTGGTGATGATGATAATAATAATGATGATGATGGTGATAATGATAATAATAATGATGATGATGATGATGATGATGATGATGATGGTGATGATGATGATGATGATGTCATGATGGTGATGATGATGATGATGATGGTTATGACGGTGAAAATGATGATGATGATGATGATGATAATGATTATGAAGATGATGATGATGATAATGATGTAGGTGATGATGATGATGATGATGATGCTGATGCTGATGATGATGATAATGATGATGAAGCTGATGATGATGATGATGATAATGGGAATGGTGAACATAATTAAACCTGGATACTCCAGGGCATCTACTCAGCTAGACCTGTATGGAATCAGATTGATATCTTTAAAAAAGAGGGGAAATTAATCAACTCCAAATGACTATAAAGCGAAACATAATGTAAAATGGTAGGAATGAGTGTATCTTTGGTTAATCCATATTTTTTTTGGCGACATTGCCATGGGTTATACAAGTAGATAAACACCGTACACACACTCTCACCAGTAAACCAGCATTGTTTGAAATCTATATGGAGAGGGCCGGAATCCAATCCACTGTCATAACTCGAGGAAGCTCTTGGACGGGGAAAAAAAAACTTGTCGAAAATTCGCAAATTGAAGAATCCCATGAGGAAACTTTTGAGATATGTTTGTGATCTTTATAAATGGGAATATGAATACCCATCAGTCTTCACAGCCTATTTCTCTCTCGATTCGTCTAAACGATAAAAATCTTCGTAAGCGTTATCTGAACCAAATCTTTCCTCTTTGCCCAAGGGGGAACCTAGTTTTTTTGTTGCCATTTGATCGTTGTGGCTCGTTTAGCGGGGCCAGTCCTGATGGGGTGCCGGGCCGTCCCGCTAGCTCGGGCGAAGACAGAAGAGACCAGGCCATTCTAGAAAAGACCCCTACTCACTTGATAAAAAACAGGATGATATAGTAACATGTACAGTGTATGGTGTATATAGTGCATTTGCCTATCCATTGTCAACAATTCCAATATTGTAGACATGAAAATTCGCCCAAGGAAGTTTAAAAAAATGTCACATTACCGAAGAGGAAGGCATTCTGTGATCTCAGTTGTTGAGCTATATTATCTATTTTTATATATTTATATTCTTTAGCAATATCACAGTCTGCCACATAATGGATGCATTTCGATGTATTTCGCTCTCCGAAGAAGGGGTTTGGGCTATCATCTATCGTCCAAATTTTAAATTTACACGTTTAACCTTTTTTAGTGAAAAATCACCGTTGACGCATTGTACATCTACCCTGATAATATTAATCTCGTTATCATTATATAGTACTGCTGCCCGAATAATTATGAGGTCATGGTAGACCGAACATTAGTAGTTTCGAGTTTGTTGGGGGGGGGGGGGTTGTAGCCCCTAGGCCTACCACCTCGTAAGCCTATGCTTCTTAATCTCCAAAAAAGGGTTTGTGTTTTTGTTTCATTCATTTCCTACTAGGTACATTAAACTTGGAAATTTTGATCTTGTTTACAACTCAATTGAATCCTAATGTAGATGCGAAAAATATGTTTGAACTAAGCGACCATTATCATTTTGGCCACTTCCCATCACGTAGCGAAGATGATCACTTTGCTGACATAAGCTACAAAATACGTCGACAGCTTCAGCCTGAGGGCATGATATAATTTGTATAATACATCATTCTGTATTCACCGAAGATGAGAGAAGGAAGTATTCGGTTTTAACCTTTTCAGTTCGTGGTGTTAAAGGTTCACCGTTTGAACTTGTAGAAGTTTAAAATTGTTTGTAGAAGTGCTCTCAAACATCCTCTCGCAAACAAAAAGAACATTATATTTAAAGGCAAAATATAGGTTTTTATGACCAAAATAAGGATTAAAGCTTGAGGAAATGTTTCTCTTATGAGTAATACTGCTGATTATAAATCTCTACATTTCTAATCTTTGGAAGGATTCACCTGAATGATTAGAAAACTACAAATTGTCAAGTCGAAGCAGAGGGGAAGGGGTGAGGGGGGGGGGGGGTACATTCTCCTCTGAAATGATACGAATTTTTAAATTGATATAGGACCAAAAACTTAATTCACTCTGCATCTATATATATAGGACTGTTATGATCATTGTCATTACAATAATCAGTTAGTATACTAGGATGTTATGATAAGCATAATTTATATATAATTTATATATTTTGTTAAATTCTTACTCTTGATCGTTATCATTGCGATCGTGATAGACATGATCTTGTATATTTTAAGCGAATTGTCTAGACTTAAAATCACCCTGGGTTTTAGAAAAGCACGCCATAATTTAAAGCAGACATGTATTTTTTCGGCCTACCGCGCAGGTAGCTATTTACCGCACTTGAGCTCAGACAGACATATCTTAATTACAATGCTACGGCTAATGGTATAAGTACAGCAAATCCTGCGATTAAAATCAATATCAAAGACAAATAGGTATCTAACAGTATCCCAGTTTTATAATTATTTCGATTAATGTGTCATGCACGTTTGATTGCTCGAGATTCGTGAGACTTCAGATTGCAGTTTTATTGACACGGAATTAACAAAGAATTTCATTGAAACAGACTTCAAAATTGTAACCATTTTGTATCTTTAACACAATTACAATCTTTGCAAGAGACAGATATATGCTAAACGTCCTTGTCTTGTTCGCTATGGCGTCGCACTACACTATTTACTATGCTCAGCTGCACATACATGCAAGGCCAGTGCTTTATACAGTGTGCGAGCAGACGACGATAGTATGCGATAATACGTTCAAGTTGAAATCGATAAGAAGAAAACGGACCTGTCGTCTGCCGCGCTATAGAGACGGAAAGAACACTTTTCTGTCTCTCTCTAGATTATATCCTTTTTTGTTGTTGATTGCCTGAATTTCGGGAATGATATTTGCTTTAATCATGCATTCCACTTGTCCTAGTTTTCGTATTGGTGTATATCACGCAACTGCATGATGCACATCATTGTGTTAGATTTATTCACGGCATAATATAATATGGAGTATTTACTTAATTTTATACAGATTATTTTCATGTAATCAGGGTAGACTCGTTTGGCGCCATTTCTGGAATTGCTTCACATGAATGCCCAAACGGAAGAAAAAAATTGATGGCTGTTGATTGATTGAAAAAAGTGGAAGTACCGGTAAACAAAGTGTTGATATGAAACTTTTATTTGTGAAAATATATTTTTTTGCTTACAATGAATAATCAGTCTTCCACTTTTAGAACGTACGTTTTCCTGATTAATTTTACCAGAAATTCATGTAGGAAGTACGTACATGTAGTAGGATGATTGTTGTTGATTAAGTAAACAAGCTGAAATAAACAAAGCGATGGTAGCCAACTTTTGTCTAACTAATCATTACCATGGTTTAGCATGAATAATTTTTCCTCTTTTAAAATGTCCATCTTTTACAGTCAACCCTTTACGTAAACTAAGTTTGTTTTTCCTTCCTTTTTATTAAATATTATACAATTTATCGATTGAACATAGGTCGAAGACTACATCACAGTTTTAATACACCAATTTATATTTGATAATAACAAGAATCCCAATCATTATGGTCGATGACACTTACATGCATGTTGCTCTACATAATAATACAATCGGTAAACACAAGGCTTTAACACGATAAACTATAAGGACATAATTATAACAGATAAAAAAATATAATACAGCTATCAAATTCTTTCCAATTCTTTGAAAAAAATCATAAAGGCCTACGTTGAAAATTAACATGAAAAACAAGGCAAGGTCTAAAAAGATTCTAAAAATAAATCTCATACAATTTAGAGCGAATTTTACAGCAATGTTTGAACCCTTGTGAGGAAGAAGGCCACTTGTAAAGTCAGTTCGTCTGCTTCTTCAATAAAATATTTTCTGGAATGGTTGTTAACAAAAAAAACCTCGTCTCGGTCTGGATTCATCATTACCGCTGTTCTAACTTGTTACCAAACCGTGATTAAAGTCTGCCGACTTGTTAAACTAATTTGATAAGACAAGGAGTACCGCAGGAGAAAGGATTTCAACCAGGACTGCATGCCGTAACTGTGGGTCTGTACTACATGCATGTAACGGCTAGAGGACCATACTTTCCAAGCGCAGTTACACAAATTTCTCTAG